CCAGATGCTACAATATAGTATTAATTATTTTCTAGGAGGATGATTCACACTTCATCATGTCTCACAGATGGGTGCAATATTCATATTATTGGTTCCATGTTCTGTGTGTCAGCAATGATGTTTCTTTAACAAAAGTGTATTTGAACATGAGGAGCCTTGAGCTAGTTACTCCCGGTGCTTTTGGCTGTCACTGCAATTTAGCATTAGCTTTCAAGTTGAAAGAAACTTTAAGGATTAAAATTAAATAACCATTTGCATTTCTAGCACTGGTTCATCCAATAAACTCCAGCTCTAGCAGTTCTCATTAGATGTAATTCATAAATCTCAAGTGCTGTACTTTGCACTTTTCAGGAAAGCAAGGTCTTTTGTAGAGGTGCTTTTAATCCATGAACGAAGACAGTCTTATTTTATATGTTGCTGCACATTTTTGTGCAATTCTAACTTTTTGACTTTATTTTTGTTCAGCAGAGATTGGTCATATACTTCAATCTCTTCCTAAACCATGGTTGTCAAATTCTATTCCATTACATTATGAATGTGTTCTTATCATTTGGGCAATTAAGGGTTCAGGAAAAGGTCTTTTTTGTTTGTTTGTTTGTTTGTTTGTTTGTAATTATTTCATGGCTGATTGTCATAGTCAGACTGAACCAGTCCTAAAATTTATGTTTATCAGACAGCATAGGATATAGTGTTAGAGATGAAGATGCTAATCCAGAATGATTTGGGAAATAGATTCCTTAATATGTAAAAGACTTATGGTTTAAAAGCTTCTTCAGAACCTGCTAGGTTTCATGTCTACCTGCATAAATTGCCTACTATTTCCTTGGATCTTTGCCATATAAATTAGTGAGTACTTCCAGCACTAGTAAAAATATTAGGAAACTTCAGCATTGTTAAAACTTCAGTCTTTCTTTGTTCCAGTTCTTGTCTTGCTGATTGTCACCATGAGGCGACGGAAAAAAGAGCCCCTCATTTTTGATGAAGAGAGAGATATCAGAGAGAACATTGTCAGGTATGATGATGAGGGTGGTGGAGAAGAGGACACAGAGGCTTTTGACATGGCTGCCTTGAGGAACCTCAATATCATGCGAGACACCAAGACCAGAAGGGATGTGACGCCTGAGATTCAGTTCTTGAGCAGACCAACTTTTAAAAGTATCCCAGATAATGTAATTTTTAGGGAATTTATCTGGGAAAGACTAAAAGAAGCTGATGTGGATCCCTGTGCACCACCCTATGACTCCCTGCAGACATACGCGTTTGAGGGGAACGGCTCAGTGGCAGAGTCGCTCAGTTCTTTAGATTCCATCAGCTCAAACTCTGACCAGAACTACGATTACCTCAGTGACTGGGGCCCTCGTTTTAAAAGGCTTGCAGACATGTATGGGACTGGACCAGACTGCTTATACTCATAGCCTTGGAACCTTTCTCTGAAAATGCACTGAAGAATATTAAAATAGAAAACTCAACCTTTCGGACTAAGGAAAGTTGTAAATATTTCTCCATTTTTAAACTTTTAGGTTGCTGTTTTGTTTTGTTTTGTTTTGTTTTGTTTTTTGCCTTGGTGGAACATATCTTCATTAAACTTGTCCTAGGGACTGCACTGACCATACAAAATTTTAGCTTTTGGTAGCATTTTTTATAAAATGAAATGCTCAGCCACGTTCAAATAGATAGCAACACTCAAATACCTACAGAGGCATTTCACTTTCAAGAGTATTTTACTGTCACCTCAACGAGCTAGGGATACACTGTAGATGCCTTCACAGTATTGCTATATCCAGAACACAGAGTCTCTGGTATAAGAAGAAAAAAATTTGTAAATTTGTAATTCAGGACATTACAATATATGGTATTTACACATGCAGAGTTTTTTCAGCAGATTTTCTTTACAGTGGGCATGCAGCTTGCTAGAACAAAAGTAGAAGGACTGACATGAAAACAAACAAAAGCCCAGGAGATATTATTTTTGTGTTTCTCTGTGTTCTCAGAGCTATTTAATTAGAAGTCTCTGTAATTTTCTGGGTAGCTTTTCAGAAATTATTGTTTGTACTAAGAAATTCCACAGTATTTGTCATCAACTTACGAAGTAGCTTATAAACCATATAAAATGAGAATAATTTAGATGTAGTCTTATGGTTGAAAAGTTTTGTGGTGCCTATGTAGGTATAGAAAAGATGTTGCTGTCTATTTGCTATTTTTTTATTCTCTCTTCTGATTTGTACAGGAGAGTTTATCCTTTTTTATTATTGTTTGACATAAAGTGTTATATTTATTTTGGAGCTCCAATCTCCACTAAATTCAGGTCCATTTTACTGCCTCATGGTATTAGACTTGTTAGAACATGCTGATTTTTCTCCAGTCTCAGATAAATGTAGGAAATGAAGCATGGAAATGGAAAAATGACAGTAAAGCAATGACGCCCACCATTCATCCCTCAGAAAGGAGAGCAGCTCCAAGGATGTACAGTTGTTCTTCTGAGCCATTACAAAGTCTGGGACATTTAAGTAAAATATTTGTACATTGAATTTTTTTGACAGAAGACTACAGAGGTAGCTGGGAGTGTCTTTAATCCAAGCTTTCATTTTCAAGGTTAAACATGCTATACGCTTCAAAGACTGTAAACACCTTGCTTTTCTCCTTTCCCTTCTCTTTTGCTGCTGCTGAATGACAGTAAAAGAGTTTTCAATTTCTTGAAAGTATTGCATTGCTTAACATAAGACCAGCAATGTAATGCTATTAACTTCAAAAGTCGTCTTTATATCCTGCTGCACATAAGTATTTTTTCCCCGAAGGTGTTAACTCATTACACATAATTTCTACACTGGTTCAGGAGTGCCAAAATGGAAGGACTACTGCTGTTGGTTAAAATACTGTATGGTTTTGAAGTAGGATTTCTTAGAATAAGACAGCTTTTTTATAATTCTGACAGTATTTATACTTCATATTTCATGATTTATTACTAGATAATAAGGCATATATTCAAGTTAAATAGTGGTTTTAGGTATATTACTTCAGATTTGTTTGTTTTGGATAAAATGTAGATGAGTTCCTAAATTAGAGTCTGCTCCTGCAAACTTTTTTGCTTGTACCTAACTTGAAATTACTTGACTTGCCTGCAATTACTGAGAGGTATACAGAATTGTTTGCAGAACTGTCTTTGTGAATAGAAGGTGCTCCATAGAGGATGATGCTCACTCTAAAAGTATTTCTTTCTGAAAGAAGGACCCTTGTACTGAAATCCTAATGTATGAGTGACATGAGGCTGGGGGGTGAGAAAGTATCATTAAGGCTTTGTAATTTTTGCAGCCCAGCATTATCAGTTAACAATGTGGAAGTGGCCTTCAGCTCCATCAAAACGAGAAAAATAATTTAATCATCTGTAACACATTCAATTTGAGTTACATTTTAATAGACAATCATTGTTTCATAATTCAGTAGATCTGCTTCTAGTTGTATTAAATATATATATATAGGTATATATATATATGACAAATTTTGTAATGAAACTGAAAGCTATTGTCCATGACTTTTAGTCATACATGTAAGATTTTCAATAAAAAAATTTAAAACAAAACAAAACAAAAAAAAAAAAACGTGTATACAGTTTAATGAGATTGAGATATGCTGCAGAATTTAAGCAGGTATTAAATAAGGAAGTTTTTGAGAAAACAATTTTTTTATTAATCTCCTTGTTTTTCAGAAGATAATTCATGCATCTGGATTAAGATGTCAAAAATTCTGATTTTAGCACATAATACTCAAAGGAGATTTAAATGTGGGTTAGAGTAAACATCCCAATTCCCTTGCTTTTCCACCTTCTGTATCTTTAAAAAAAAAAAAAAAAAAAGGATCCACTACTAGGAAACTATGTTAGGGTGGGTTTTTTTGTGTGCTTTCTATGGGAAAAAATACTCTTTATTCTGATGCCATAAAAACTCTTTGCCTATATAAGTTTTCTGTTGCACAGTTCTAAAATAATTGAATAAGCTTTCCGTTACATTATATATGCTTACCTACTGATTGTATTGTTGCAGTAAGAAAGAAAGGTGGAAATCCCTTATGTTTGATGACAGATACAGTATATACACGAGGTATGCATAGTACATATAATAGATAATGCTCTCCATAAGTTACCATGACTACAAGCTTTCACAGTTCAGAATCTGATTCAAATTCTTTCTTTGAGTATTATTTATATTGCACACCATGAAGTCATAAAGTATATTCTAGTGACTAAATAGTGTAAAATGTAAGAAATATTTTCTCTGTCCTAGAAAGATAATGAAATTATTTGAGCAATTTAATTAGAAAGGCCCTTTAAAATTATTTACAATCTTATTTATTTATTTAACTTTCCGAAGAGTTTCAGTATCTAACTAGAGACCACAAATTCTAATTAAAAAGTATATCAAACATTGCAATCACTTCCATCTTATGTTGAAACACCTCTTTCCTCCCACCAGATGCCAGTTGAATAGGGTCATTTTAAATTGATATTTCCAAGCACCTTGGAAATTGCACAGTTTTAAGAGTCTTATTAAAAAAAAAAATCAACATAAAATTAATCTGTTTGGTTAAGATTTATGGTAAAGACTCCTTACTCTGCCTTGACCAGTGTGAAGTCTACTGAATTCAACAATGGAACGCTCTGGCTTACATTTTTGATTCAAAAGAGTAAACTTAGTGTACTTTCTTTAAGTTATATCCCACTAAGACATAGCACGGGCCTTCCTAAGCTTACTGATTCTGATGGCTGGGTTAATACAATTGCTGTAGGACTGAAGATGTTTTATGGTCCAAACTGAAAGTTCTCCTTGTTCCTAAAAATTAAGGGAGATAAAGGAAAACAACTTCCTCTTTACTGCTGCTTTTATTTGTTGTTTTGAAAGGAAGTAGGAAGATTCATTGCATTTTCCTTTAAAGTTGGGGTCTTTTTTCAATTATTTCTTCCTGTTCACCTTTCAAATGCTGACAGTAATCAATAAATATTTCCTGTCCTTTTTTTCTTTAAAGATTTTGGATAAAAGCACAAAAATAGTAGCATATTATTTTGTATGGACAAATACTCTTGTATGATACAAAGAAAAGTAGTAGTTTGTCATTCTGAAAAGGAAATAAATATAATATAAAGCATACAATCACGCTGACTTTTAAGATCAATAAAGAGTTGAAAGGGGAACACCATTACCTATATCAAATCTAGTATTAAGTTCTTGGTCATAGTATGTCATAGAGCTGATTTAAATTTTTTATATGTAGATTTTTTTTTCCTCTACTTTAAAATCTATGTAGAATAATGGTGCTTTGAAACATCCTAGCATGTACCACATTTGTGATATATGCGGTCAAGTGTATTTTTATTGATCTATGGCTCTAAAAATTAATTGCAAAAGATAAAAATATTCCTTTATTTATTTGACAGAAACAGGAAAGTCTACAAAATAACCAGAGCTCTACACATTGCTGTCTTTACTGTCTTTGCTATCTTAGTGATGGTATCACTAAGTCTGCCAGATCTATATCTAAGTTTTCCAGATACATCCTAAGATATTTTCTACCCAGGATCATTCCTTTCAAACCAAGAACTCTTCCTCTGCTATTTTCAATGCAGATAAAAATGTATTTTCTATTTTACTGAAGATTTTCTTTGTGGATATTTACCTGAAGTTTTATTCTTTGAATTAAAAGATTCACAGTACACAACAGGTATAATCTATTTTCTGGATGAAGGGGATGAAAAAAAAAAAATCTATATATGGTAGTCTATACTTTGCCTTGTTATGATAATATATCTTTTCTCACAAAAGAAAGAAAAAATTTTGCCACGTGGTACATAAAATCTGCAAAACCTTAGACCATATAGAATTGCATATAGAAATATATTGTTTGAAAAAACTTGATTTACCTAAGCATTACATGATACAAGATGGTCTCGAAATCTGTATGTGATTCTTTATGTATGTAATGAAACACAATGAAAGAAGAAAATAGCATAAGAATTTTCTGGAAATCAGAAAAAAAAATCTCATTTGAAGCCACCATGGTGTCTCATGTAGACACATCTTCTCTTATTTCATATGTTAACACATATTTCCGAAAATTATATGTATATTAAATATACCACCCCCACAGTATTTCTTTTCAAATACCTTTTTTTAATCAGAAAGTATCTGCAAAAAGTAATCCTACTTTCAAAAACTTCTTCTGTCCTTGTCCATGTCTGATGTAGAAGAATATAGTTTAGATTCAGGCAAAACTTTTAAGATTGCCCCCACAATGAATGGAAATAGGTTTCAAATTCTGACCCAAAATAGTTTAAAAGCTGTTAGAAGGACTACAAGGACTGTTACTTCCATGATTTTTTAAAGCCATGGGTTATTTCATAATTAATGGTATCAGACTGAAATTACTTTTGCTAGAAATAGTGTAAAGTTAAATGGAGTTTACTATTTGATTGATTAACTAAGATTATAAAAATATTGTGCAGCATAACAGCAAGTTGAATGCTGAATCAGTACCAGAAAGAAGTCAAGGGTTTTATTTTCTTCTTCTACTCACCACCATCTCAGCCAATGTCAGAATTTCTTTTCATTGTACACCAAAGCAAAATCATGTTGAGTCTAAGTTGGCCACAGCAGGGAGTTAGATCTTCTCTCCTCTTCACAAAGGCTAAAAGACTGTTTACTAGGTCATTCTATTCAAATATTCTTGTCTGATTATTTCTGGACTCCTCGGTCATGATACCTGAGACCTGTGAAGTTGTTGGGGTTTGGAGGTTTTGGGTTGGGGGGGGGTGGGGAGGTGGGCAGAGATTACTGTTTGTTTGTGGGTTTGGATATTGTTAAAATTGTAGTTCTTTCTGAAATGCTTATGATTGAATCAGTTGACCTTTTTCATTGAATTTTTTTGTGTTTGTTTTTCTTTGGTCAAAACCATACTAGCGTTGTATGCCCTGACCTTTCTTTTATTTTGACTTCAGCCCCACCTTTTTTCTTTACTGTTAATAGTCCTGAGGTGCTCCCTCTCTTTGATGTCAAGAAGCTATAGAAAAAGATAAATATAGGATCAACATACTGCAGTGAAACTAATCTGTCATTTTCTCTAAACACAAGCTCACAAACATCATAGTTAAGCTGCCATTAACACCATTCAAATCATGGCGTGGATCTAATCTTACAACTTTAAAATATATTATCCTTTTCTGGCACTACTATCAGCAATGTTTACACATTTAATGAAATCCTATTAGATAGGATTATCAAGGTTTTTACCTGTAACTCAGTTTCATCATTATTATTTATGTAATGGTCTTGATGCACAGAAAAAGAAGGAAAAATTTAAAAAGTAAAACAGAAAAAGTACAAAATGCCCTCATGTGCACTGACATTTAATGCAATGTTTTAATTATTACTCTGCCTTACTATTCCCAGTACACTGATAGCTTTTCCTCTCTTTGAGACTAACTTCTAATAAATGAAGATAAGTGTGATATTGAGCCAGATATTCAAACCACATTAGACCATTTGAGTCTGACAGGAATGGACATCTGAATTTCAATGTCCTATTTCCTTAATAATCAAAACATCCTTTATTATTATCATCACACTGTTGAAATTATACAGAGAGAGAAGTGTTTACTGATGCACCTACAAAATGCTTGGTGAAATCTTGATCATATTCTAGTACTTGGCAGATCACCCTCTGGCTTTCAAGAGGTGTCAAGATTTATACATTGTTGGGAGAGACAGATAAATGATCACTTAAAGCATCAAGATGAGAGATTGTTGCTTTGAGCTGGATACCCTTTGTTTTTACACAACCTCTTCTACTGACTTTCCCATTTTGGAAGTCACAATCTGCTTCTTTTAATGGTAATGTAAGTAGCTTAATAAGATGTTTTTAATGGCATAAGCTACTTACTTAGGATCAGCATAGTCCACATAACCTTGCTGTAACAAACAGTATTCTTGCTTATAAAGATAATTTCTGTGCACACACTAAATACAGACAGTGATACAAAAGATTTATATTTGATGAAGTATGTATGGTAAAATACTCTCTGAAGAAAAAAAGCAAAACAAAACCAAAACATCTATTTCTCCTTAAAATTAACATATAGAATTTCCAAGATGTGAAAATTAAATTATTATACCTTTCTTCAGACTGTGTGACTATCTGTAGCTTTACCAATTTCTATGGCTTGAGGTACAATCCAAATGAACCATAATCTTCTTGTTTTGAAATACGTTGTCATGCTGATGCTTGAGATTTTTTTAACATAGAAAGGGGTGGTGGCAACAAACTGACAGAGAGGTTAAGAGTATTAAGCTTTTCCTGGTGTTCTTATCGTTTCATATATGATCTAATGATGTGAAAAATAATGTTTTACCAGATGTTACTGGAATACAATTTCCTCTGAGCTAATAATGTTTCCATCCTGTGGAACAATATCTTCCAACAGTCTGCAGTGCTTGGCCTGGTCTCATCTTATTCAAGTAGAGAGAAAGAGGAAATAAGGGGAGAGACTAGACACCTAAGTTATAAGCTTAATAAGAAATTTTCTATTCCTCAAGACATTAAGGTTTCCTGTTTTTTGTGTGTGAGGAACACATGAAGAGATCTCTCATAGACATGCAACCTGTTGATGCAGTTATTATTTCTGGCTGGATACTTGTTCTTATCTTTTCCCTTTCAGTTTCTGCTACTTTGTGACATATTGAACACAACTCCAGAGATAAGTAAGTGTGGCGTATTTAGCTCCAAGGATATGGTGAAGATTCAGGTAGTATAAAAAATATTATTTTATAACAGGTTAGTAAAAACATGAGCATTTTTGTCTTCCCCTTTATCTTCTTCTCTCCCTTTCCATCATCTGTCCTCTGAAAGATGATATATGACACTAAAGTTTTTGCTAATGTTTTGAGTACACATTTGGTAGCTTTTGTAGTAATTACGTCTAGAAGGTGAATGTAGAACAAACCAGTGTCAAAGTCAAAACTAATAATTTCCTACTCTTTTTTTGACAAACTTGCTTTGAGGTAGAGCTATGATTTATCTTTCAGTGTAAGTTATTCCATGATAACAAAATAAAATAATAGGAAAAATTGATGCTTAGCAACAGCTGATCATGAAAAGGAGATTAATATGTATGACAAGTTTTTTTTATTGTGGCTTAGCACAGGTCAATATGGTATATTGGGACTTAGAGATTAATGTAGAACAACTTGGCTCATGGACAAAGCACTTTCATGAAGGGATTTTTAAT